GTTTTTTTTTTAAGCGGCCAAAAACAAAGGTTCTTTCGTAGATTTGGTGAACGGAATGGATACTTGTTCTGTACATTCGAGCACCAAGGGTGGATTATCCGGTGTCGTGACCTAACGGTAATAGTTTCCACGATTGAAATGCTGTTGGCTTTGTAGTGTGAATCTACCGCGAATCGGCAAACAAATCCAATTCACGATTAACGCCAACATTCCGCGGCAGACAGCGGGAAATTGCTCTAGATTCACGAAGTTGTATGCATATTTCGCTATTACAGAGATCTGCCCTATTACTTCGTTGCACTCCATTCCTGTCCTCGTCTCGCGTGTGAGTTCTCTTTGAGGGCTGCGGAAATTATTCGCGCGGTAGATCGAGTGAGAAGCTTGCGGTACGTCTGACGAAAGAAATAGACGTGAAATCTGGCCCGCAGTGCTCCAAAACTTTCCAGTAATTTGCGCTAGTTCGGCGCCTATTCGCGCGAAACTTGAGGGAAAGCTATGCGGCGGATGGAGCGCGAGGATGAAAAGAAAAAGGAGGATTTAACGTCGAAGTGGAGCAAAGAAGACAGTGAGAGACGAAGGAAGCATCGAAGGAGATCGGCGTTTAGGAAGGTGCGAAGTGGCTCACGCGTTAAACTATGCGTGTAATGCAGTGAGTTATCTTAAGCCGAGCTTCTTCGAGTACACGGGAGATTACTCGTACACGCTACCTATTTTCTAGAACCTAGAACTCAGTTTTAATAAACTCCATAGCCAAAGTAGAAATTCAGCGCGACAAAATTCAAGTTACATAGAAGAAAAGAATCGAACGTTCGAGCAGATACGTTTAAGAAGATTATTTATCAAAAAATTAACGGAAAAATCTTTATCTCAATATTAGCATGCAGTTTGATTAAGAAAAATTCGCAAAAAGTTCCTGGTCTCACGAATGAAGGAAGAGTCCCATGGCCCTGCTAAGCAGGAAATGCGAAACTATCGCGCTCCACCCACGAGTAACTGAATCTCTCGTTTCCCGCTGAGTGGAAGAAGGCAGCGTTGGTCAGGCGTAGAGAGCGTAGGAATGTGCTCCCTATGCCAGGTCGCCATAAAACGTTTTCTCAACACGCGCAGGCCACGTTTGTTGTGGTGGTAGCCACGCGTGGACAAAGAACGACGATATCTGTGCAGCTGCTCGAGCACGTACCACGTTGAACGTCTGATATTTCCTTAACGCGCACATATACGGGTGTGCGTAAGCAATTTCGCTCTTACCCGTAACTGCTAACCCGCCGTCAATCGGCATGCACATGATTCGCGTATCGCATCAAGACCTTTGTTTAATGCGCTTCGTGTTACAATGTTATCCGCCATATAATGTCGCGACACGATAATCGAAGCAGCGCGATTGATCGCCAAGGTTTCCTCTTCGAGGAACGATAGCGTGAGGGTGCGATTATTTTCATCGATCACATCAGGATGTCGAAGTTTTGATAATTCGGAAAATTATTAAGATATAGAAAGCTGCAAAATGTCTAGTAAACGTCTGTTTGCGCTATATCGTTCGTCGCTGATGCAACTTTAATAAATTTGTGTATAATTTCGCTGTAAGGTGCCGAAAATGTAAGTACGTTGTGCCTAGATCACTGCAACGTGTCGCCCTGGCTCTATCTTTGTTTCTTAACAAAGAAAAGCTAATATTATGGAGATGAAACTGTATGTATGTGCATAAATTTATCATAAATTCCCCGGGCGCGTCCTAAGATCTCTTATCAAGATACAAAGCCCGGCGCGCGCCACGCCGCGCAATGCAGCGTCCACCGATTGTAAATGGCTACGATGACTTGTTCGGTCATCGTGTCACCAGATACCGGCGCGGAAATTTCCGTGCGAGAAATCGACTTCATCTATCCTGCCACGACATTCCCGGGTCCCGCGCGATTCTTTCCCACAAACATTTTCAGCGAGACGAGAGCTCCCGCAATCGGCAAATGGAAACGTTGTCGCTTCGACACGATGCGACGCGATGCGATCAAAGCGAATGGCCGGAATCAATCGAAATTTGACAGAATGACAAACGCAGTCATGGCGACCAACGTCCGGTCGAAACATTCGTCGACCTTCCACATTTGCACCTGCTCGGAATCGAAGTCATCACTGCCTACGTAACAATTTGTCCCGATTGCCGTAACGCGATACGAGAGTTCTCTCTCTCTCTCTCTCTCTCTCTCTCTTATTTTGCCACGCATTTTACAGCATCCATCGTTCATTCACGATTTATAATTAATAGTTAAGATAATATGTCTTTACGAGCGTGCGTAGAAAATTCCTTAGATAAGACGCATTCCTCGAGGAATTCAATTCTCGACAGATTGTTCTCCTAGGTAAAAGCGGTACATGTGCATGTGCATATTTGTGCGATATTACATCAATGTTAAAATCACAATGCATAGTTACACTGTAACAATAACTGCGAGCATACACAAATACCTAACAATGTTATATTATGTTATATTAATTATAATATAATAGGTACATATAATTATATATATCTATTGTACATAGAGTATTCTCATTGTTTTCTCAAGCTATTCCTCGCAGACATGATTTCAATTCGCGAATATTCATATAACAAGAAACAACGCGAGCAGTGTTGTTAAAATATCAAGTCAATATAATTCTCGCCATTTTCCGATTCTAATTATCGTCCGTTACTCACTCTATATGAATAAGTTTTTTTTTATACTTGCATACGCCACTTACATGAAATAAAATTTAATACAAGTTTGTATTAATAATATATAATTATCTTTTTAAGAATTTTTAATATATATTTTTAATATATTCATAATAAATATAATAATTTAAATATCATTAATGTGTGACAAAATTATCTTTTAGAGAAAATATGTTATTATTAATATAATATATTATTAAATAGCATATCTTTGAATTTAGACTATTTAATATGACATTTTAATGATAACGAAAATGCTGGACTAATTATATTTCTTGAAATAAAGATCCATATATCCTATTTTATAAATCATGTAGGTATATTCATAAAATTATTTGTGCATGTACAGATCTATGCCAGTATCTATGATCAGTTTCTTTTTCTTTCATGACGTATCTGTTAATCTTCGGGCTTTTGCAGATTTCCTATTTTTGAGATGTTAAAAAGTAGAATTTCCGGTGCAGTCATTTCGGGGCGTTCTCGTCCGTATTAATTTTGCGCGGGTAATGCAAAAAAAGAAGCAATGAATAAATTTGAATAAGCAAAACTTCGCTGCGTGAGAATATTAGGACACACGCAGCACTTCTTTTGCATAATCATCTTTAACCGTGGCGGGGACCGTAACACACAGCGGCGCACGGCTATATCGCGTACTCCCGCAAATAGTGTTAATGTACAAAGTTGCTACTTTGGAAAAAACGAGAAGAAAAAAAAAACGTGTGTAATACTTCACAAGCTGTGACATGGTCAAAAAGTTACGTTTAACTTGAGTTTCCAGCGAGACTCGTAAACATCGCGTAAAAAAGGGGGAACTCACGCTCATTGCCGGCGTTACACACAGCTTGCAACTTTTCCTTGTGTTCGATGATAATTCATGAGAAAGTTTAATCCTTTCGCTCGCAGCATCCCCCGGTAACATACTTTTTTGTTGTCCGTAATATGTAAATTTTAGACTCGCTACTGTCGCGTCATTTCTCCCTCGCCCACATATTCCTGGATATAAATTACTTCCCATTCGTGATTTTTAAGTAGACCGATGAAAAAAGAAAGAGACAGTCGTGGTATTTTTGCGGTGAGGGAATTAATTAATTACGTTCATTTGTAAAACTCAGTACAGCTTCGCGCTGCTTAGCAGATAACGGACGTAGTCACGCTTCGTTTGAGAGACGCGGTGTTCAAAGTAGCGATAACTTTCTTTTACGATTATTTGAGACTGGAAAATGTGAAATGCGAACGATCGTAATTCAAGCAACGCAAAGCTGCACTTAGGTACGGAAACTGCTCGATCTTTCAAGACGAGAGGCAACACGTCTGCACTTTTATCGTGCGGTATATTTCGTCGTATCGCGCTTTATGACGTCCGAACTAAATCGGATATTAGAATCTCGATTAGTTGGCGCAATAACTTATCGAAAAATCAACATGTGAAATTACGTACTCGCATACACATTATATAATCGCGTTGAACACCTTATAGCATTATGCTAAATATAAACGTATCTCACTGCAAAGTAAGTAATCTCCATATCAAGGAATCATTTAAATTGATATAATTAATTTATGTATTTAATTATCCATTAAAATAAAGAAATAAGCTATAATTTTTTAAAGAAATTTTTGTGGAATTATAGAATTCCGCATAGTTTAAAAATCATCTAGGATAATGAGAGGTTGCTAACTTGGTCGACTTATTATTGAAATAGTTTTATGTCGGTTATGACTTAAATGGTTTCATAACAGCCAATATATGCTCATTAATATATAACCTAAATGAGTCTTGTAGTAATTGCGTGTTATAAGCTCCATTTGCTCATCGGAACTATATTCGCTTATTATGTGAAATATTTTAATCCTTGAAAATATGAGATGAAGATTACAGAAGATTAAGTTCGAAAAAGTCAATTAATACAAACAAAATTAACGCAACTGAAAATCAAGCACTGTAATTAATGCACAAAATTAAAAATACAGCATTATATTTTAATATTATATTATATTATTGAAGATGGTGAAGTCGATTTCAAGACGCTCTCAAGGATGATAGACGAATGTCATCACTCGTCAAAGATCAGATGGAAATATACTTTGTTTAATCCAGATAAGCAGCGATATTTTCGCGCGCAAATTCGGCGTGTCATTCGTCTACATAGTAATCACGTTATCGCGTGTGTTCCAGATGACTAACTCGCGCTATCTTGCAAAATAACATGTGTCTAGCAAAATAAAGGCGGGCAAAACAACGTAGGTACCGTTTGTCAGGCCGTCGACGTTAAAGAGCGAGCGAACGTACATAGTCGTGTATTTTTTGAGTTGAAATGAACCTTGACACTTCGCGAAATCCTGTCCTTATGAACGAGAGATTAGACGATGCTACACGAAAGCGTGTGTCTCAATTGTTCGCTCATCAATGAAACTTGCACGATGTAATTATGAAGTCGATGACGCGCGCGGTATCAATATCGAATTCGATACTGGACGAGGCTGCTTTGTTATCAATCATATAATATTCTCCCACATCATTCGCGTGGGATATTTTCGCGCAGTGATCAAGCTTTGGTGTATTATCCATTCTCTCTCTCTCTCTCTCTCTCTCTCTCTCTCTCTCTCTCTCTCTCTCTCTCTCTCATCGGCGATGGTAACGGTAGCAATAATAGTACCTAGGACGATCCACGCAATGATTCCGCATTGTTCTACAGCAGCAATAAATGTCAGTCGATTGCATTTGCCGAGCACGATGGTTATGTTCTTCTTTCTTCTGCCCGCGTTGCTTTTGCCGCTTCGTTCGTCGGCTCGATGGCGGGGCGGCCGAGTACCGTACGGTCGGTCATGTGGCTTTCGAGCTTTAATGCGATCGATTTGCCGGACGGCTTACGTTCGAAGGAGAAGGAGGAGCGGAAGCGGCTTGCACCTTCTCGTGAAATATGCAGTTTGATTTTTTCCCCCGTGAGAGTTAATTCGCCAACCGGGGAGAATCCGCGGGAGTAAGGTTTTTAAAGGTGATATTTTATTTTCTGTGATCGCCGTCGAAAGCCCACTGTTGTTAAAAATAAACGGGGAGAGCTTCTACATAAATCAGCAGCCGCAACTACCTCGCCTACCGACTTTTTCTCGGGAGGAATTGAAATAAAAACTCCGTAGCCGGTGGAGGAAATGGGTAACAGTTCCGAGATACCTCTCTCAGGCGCATATCACGTCGAGAGGTCGTGTAATAACGTGAATTCGCGGGACCGAGGGATTTCATCTGGGTTCCGAGATTCTCAACGAACCGAGAGTTGTGTTCTCAGAATCGTTGAGCGCCGGAGAGGAGATCGCGCGATAGCACAAAGGAATATCTTTCGGCGATAACCATCCGTTCGCACGGCCACCAATCTCACCTGCTGACCCGATCATATTAATTAATCGCGAATCGATAGCGCTTGCAGGAAGCCCGGTTTTTAGGAGGCGCGACGCATCACGGGCGATGGATCGTAAGAAAAGCTGATGGTAACTATGATAAGTAGAAGCAGAAGAAGGATAGACGGAGATAGAAGGATAGAGGGAGAGGTTAGAGAAGAAGAAGGAGGAGGAGGAGGAGGAGGAGGAGGAGGAGGAGGAGGAGGAGAAGGAGGAGGAGGATAGAATGGGTAAAGGAGGTTACTGCGACGAGACACCCGAGATAGATCGCGGGAGTCACTACGCGGCCTTATTACATCGTAAATTCCCGCTTAGTGATGGATAACATTAACCCATCGGCAACGACAAATTACTTAACTCCGCCGAGGTCGAGCGGCGCAGCCTCGCCGTCGTTCACCCGGAACTGGTTCTTCTTCCGCCGCGGTTGCCGCAACCTCGATCGATGCCGTGTTGTCGAGAGTGTGGTGTGGCATCTCTGAACGCTCGACATTCCGATAATGCGACAAAGATACAAAGTTCCAGCATAGTCACGCGGCGACCGCCACGTCAAACACTTTCATTCAATCCAAATCTAATATCACCAAGAAATAAGAAACAAAAACCACAGACAGGTCATAATTATCTTGACAAATTATCTCGAGCAAAATATATCTAATACGTATGATAATATATCTAATACGAAATGACAGCTTGAAGGAAGGTGTAAGGAAGGCGTTTGATGAGCGTTTCGACAGATTATTAGTCTCTCATGGGTCTTTAATGAAATTTTCTCATCGTTTCATCGTCTACGCATTAATGCAAATGTCGTTACATAGTAATCCGAGTTACCATATCAGAACGTAACGCCGTTCGGCGCACAGTGGATATTGCTCTGTAACTGGAAGATGCGCAATTCGCCCCGCTGAAACTGCAGTACTTCGTGTTTACGTAGTACGGGATGCGGTTCACGTAAAAGAGCACCGTAGCGGAGTATGTTACATCGATTTCCTCGGAGAGCCGCGACTCGCTGTAACCGGATAATTCATTAGCGATACAACCCGAGACGCCGTGAATTCGCGCAACTATTAAACATTCCACGGATTTCCCAGAAGGAGAAGAGTCCCCGAATCATTTTCCCTTGCGGTCGTTGCCACTGCATCGTCGTTAACTGTTATACCCTAAAGCTTCCAGTTTCGTCGGACACGATACGGTTTATTAAAACAGCATGGAGGCGTTTCATCATCACCGGCAAAATAATTATCTCGGATCTCCTAGTTAAGCGCGATAAAAATAAAGCGAGTGGAAATTTTTATAACTCCGATCATTTTTCACGTGACTCGAGAGGACAAGACAGAGAAAAACGATCCTGAAAAAGAAGAAATTTAAATCGTTGAGAAATCAAAGGAGCGATAGCGCCATGAAAGAATGATACTCAACTGACAACTTTTTTTACATCCCTATGAAAAGCACAATTCTTGCAACCGACACGTGTGTACCGATGATTTAATAATATGTAGCGTCGACACACGATAAGAAACGGGTAGCTACCTGCGCACAGCGAGGAAATCGTTGGCAGACCTAAGTGTTGAGCGCACCATTTATCATAACGTGATAGGTCAGAAACGTGTACAACCGGATATTACACGCAACTCTGATAAATAATACAAGAGTAAAAACTTTAATGCTAGAAGAAAGTTGTAAACTGCGAACGGGAATGAGCGGAAAGTACGTAAAAATTGTAATAAGACTGTTATTAGCGATTTCTACGACAGGCCGACAAACGATGTAGATAATAAACCTATGAAATGCGAAAATTATTATTTTCTAAGTACGGTCTACGAAACGGGCAGTCCTTAAATCACGAACACGTCCTTTAAACCGGCTCTGTATGTTGATCCGAGCTTAGCTTACCGTCATTAAAATATTAAAGAAGTTTCAAACCGCAGAGGTAACGTACGAAAGATAGAGGACTTTCGAAGAAGTCTGCAACATTTATGGAGTTTCATATTAACATAACGTCAGTTTGTTTCAGAGTGTTAGAAATTATGACATACGAATCCGCGAAACCCTACGAAATTTAAGAGTACGAAGCGTGATATGATAGATCCCATTTTATATTAATCATCGTTGTAATACAGCCATTATTTTGCAAGCTACACGGCGGACTGCATATATGAAAACAAGATACTTACGCACGACCAAATAAAACACTCTTTTTCTGGTTTCCGTTAATTTAAAATAATAACATATGTAAGCAACACCAATTATCACGTCAAAACGGAATGATAAAATAATAAAATGGTGTGCTTGCGCTTGATTTAATGCGCAGATGAAAATGCTGAAATCGCGGAAACATCGAGATACGTGACCAACAAAACTTCATGCACGGTCAGTACAATGTGGTAGAATTGTTCTCTAATTTTTGTCGAATAATAACTAATTGCTCACCGATAACTTCATCATACGATCGACATTTCGCTCAGCGCGATGATAAAGTGGCAGAATCTATTACGACGGAATAATCGATCATGTTTGGAATAAATTCTTTAAACAGCAGCATCTCAATTTTTATTGCATCGATTTTGAAAAGTATTTTGGAAGAAATATTATCTATAAATTTTTTTTTTAAATCAACACATAAAATTATATCTTATATCACAATAAAATTATATCTTTTATCTCAAACATTGCATATTATTTAATATATTTTTTGGTAATTATTTAGTTTAGGGAACTAACCTCCAATGACCTTATACTGTTCACCTTAAGTAACAATCAAAAGGTTTTATCCATCATTCATTTTTTATTAAAAAGTTATTAACAAAAAGTTTGAAAAATAATTATGTACAGTGATGTACAGTATCACAGTGATAGTTAAATATTACTGGTTAGATTAGATTAGATTAGATTTTTCGGAAGTCCCCTCTTCGTGGGGGTGAGAGGCGACGAAATATATTACCTTCATGCATACACTTTTCATGTGAAGTTCCATGGGTTTACAATTTTCCTCACGAAGGATAGAAGGAATTGAATTAAGTTAGATCTTTCGGTAATGAAACCTCACGTAACGACGGGAGGGAAGGGGGGAGCAGAATACATTGCCTTTACATTGTGGAAAATTGTAAACCCATATGAAATTTCGCTTCGCATTGAAAAGTGTATGGAGACAGTGTGTTTCGTCCTTCCTCTTACGGGAAAAGGCTACCGAAAAATTTATCCGTATTACAGTGCTAAATAAATATCATTGTGATACATCCTTTATATGAGTCTTCGACAAATTACATTTTTTAACACTGGCAAAAACTAGTACATTTTTCTTTATCAATAATTTTTTTACTAAACAATGGCCAATGGCTAAAATCTTTTGATTATTATTCAGAGTCAAGATCAAGATCATTGGAGAGTGGGTCTTTAAATTAAATAATTATTTATTTTTTATCTAGATCAATTTAAAAAATAATCACAAAATGTACAAAACGCTTTTTAATTAAGTATATAAGTATTAAGTATAAATAATTGTAAATAAAGTCGTTCCTATCAACAAGTATTAAACCATATTAAAAAAATATGACCATATTAAAAAAACTATATACATGTTTAAATATAGAAATAAGATCATCAAATTTTCAAATGTAAGAGTTCGTCTCCTATTAAAATTCTAAATTCCAAAAGATTCTATCTCAAGTGACTCTTAAGATTTCTAATTATTTTCGTTTTAAGTGATCGCAAAGTCACGGACAGAAGTAGAAATTGGCATTCCTAACATACATCCCTAAGATACCAGAAAGAGGAAGCAGTACTACCGATAGACTTCTCGATCTCGTTAGGAGCGAATCTTTGAACGCAAATGGCCGTTCGTTCATTTGCTCGAGCAGATTGCCTCTGATAAGTTCTGCCAGCCCACAGCCGTCGTCATATCTCGCGTGGTTTCGATAAGAATCTTTCGCCGCAGCATGCAGTTCAGTACAATGCGAACTTAATTAAATAGAATCTTGTTGTCGTCGTCGTCGTCGTCGTCGTCGTCGTCGTCGTCGTCGTTGCTGTCGTAGTCCTTCTCGTCGTCATTGTCAGCCTCGTTTCAGGTAGCGGTAAGC